TTCGTGTAAACCACCCGTGGAGCGTTTATTTGACGTTCTACCGTCTCACCAACCTCGTTATTATTCTATCGCTAATTCTCCTCTTGTGAATCGCGATTCATTTCATATTGCCTTTAACATTGTAGATTATAAAACACCGGACCCTTATGGTGTGCGCAAATTTGGAGTTTGTACCCCATGGCTGGATAATTTGAGTGGTCACGTTAACGAATGGAATAAAAGGTTTCCTTTGACCACAAAGATAGACATCCCTATTTTCATGAAACAAACCACTTACGGATTTGCTGTTCCTTCAGATATTTCAAGACCTATGATCATGATCGGTCCTGGAACGGGTGTTGCACCTTTTATTGGATTTATTCAACATCGTGAACAGCAAATTATTGCTGAAAGACGATCGGATAATATTGAGAAATCGTTGGGGGAGATGTGGTTATTTTATGGGTGCAGAGATATTGAAAAGGACTATTTGTATCGTGAGGAATTGGAAGGATTTTTAAAACGTGGTATTCTAAAAGAATTATTAGTTGCAACTAGTAGAGCACCAGACGCTGGATTAAATGGAAATCCAAAGTATGTCCAAGATTTGTTGAGAAAGAGAGGTCAAGAATTGTACGAATTGTTGGATCGAAAAGATGCGATGATTTTTGTGTGTGGGTAGGTAGCTGAATAGTGATATTGTTTTATTGAAGCATACCTTTTTATTTACTTATTTATTTCTTTATAGAGATGCTCAAGGTATGGCCAAGGACGTTAATGATGCTCTAGCCGATATTTTAGTTGAGTATGGTAACATGCAAAGATCAGATTCGTTGAAATTGTTGGCTAAATGGATGAACGATAGGCGTTATTTACGAGATTTGGTAAGTTATTCGAATTGATTTTGAGATTTTTATGAGATTTATACTGATCGTTTATTACACTTATATTTAGTGGTCTTGAATATTATTGGGATAATGATAGAAAACGTATTTTTATTTATTTTTTCGAACTTAATGAAATATCAAATATTTCTCTATTATTAATTTAATTCTAGTATTTCCTCATTATTAAAGAAAGAAAACTTGTTCTCGGCCGTTTAACACAATCAATTTTCATTTGACAATTTTGTGCCTTGCCCATACTTTCTTGGCATCTAACAGGTTGCCATCAAGTGAAATATTTTTGATAGTATAGAATAATTTATGGAAACTTCCGAATTCAAATTTGTCATTATTTAAATGGATCCCATTTCAACCCTAATTGTTAATCATGAAACATAAAACTCCGGTCACATGGATAAATCGTTAAATTGGATTCATTGTTTGTGCACAAGATCATGACACGTAATTAAGCAGTAGTACAGCTAAAGGCTTTTGAAAGTTGTCTATATAAAATTCGATTTATGCCAAAAATTTATTAGCCTAAAAAACTTGGCAAAAAAAAAAAAATTACTTGCACCCCGTATTGTTAGAAAAAGGTAAAAAAGTATAAATAATCCGAACACTCTAAAATGTTTCATAATAATTTAATGAGCGCTTTGCTTGGTACGATGGGAGCTGTGAGTATATATATATTGTTACATTTATTTATTTATTTACGAGAAGAAAAAAAAAACTTTTATTGACCTTTTGAATTATTACGATTGTGGCTTTAACTCACTTAAATATTTTAGATTATTGATCCACCAACACAACGTTCAACAAGCCCAACCAGCCCAAACGAAGGTTAGATTTTCACTCACTCTCTCAATTTTTACTTTTATTGTTTAATTTCGAATTAATGATAACGTCGGTAAACGTTATGCAGACTCAGATTCAGATTCTTCAAGTGGAAGTAATGGAACAAATGTTTCTTCTTTGGATGCGATATATCTTACAACTTTATTTCAAGAGAATAATATTGAGGGATTAACGAATGATGATCAACAATTCATTATGCAATCAGAAAAATTATTAAAAGAAAAATCTACCGCAGAAAAATTGCAAGAGATTTTTGAATTATCAAATCCCGAACAACTTAAAGGAGGTAAGTAATAGAGAATTTCAAAAACAAATCAATAAATAAATTCTTATTTTTTTTTTTTCTTTGGAATATTTTTTAACTATAGAGTTTAGATGTACTTTATTACGATCAATCATGTTACAAGGTTTCATGTACCTTACGGAAAATCACATCTGCTTTCATGCTTATTTTCCAAGAGAACAGGTAACCAAAATTAATAAACGATCATCGACATGCATACAATCCTTTTTATTGTTACACGAACAAACTTTAAATTCTTCATTTAGGATATTGTATTGAAAGATGGTAACCTCGCAAAGAAAACTTTTGGAAATAGATACGAACGGTATCATTTTTCACTTCAAAATGATGTGCTTACTTATTACGTAGATCCAATGGTAATATATTTATGATAATTACACCCATTTTAATTGGGAAGATGGTTTTAAAATTTCTTTTCTCTTAATTTATTATAGGATATGTATTGTCCTGAAGAAATCATTGATTTAAAATATGCTATAAAAGCTGAAAGAATTAATAAAAAGAACGGATTTAAGATTATCACGCCGAAGCGTACGTATAAATTTCAGGCTGATTCACAAACTTCTATGGAAGAATGGATAACCCAATTAGAAAGATCCATAGTAAGAGCTAATAATGGTGGCGATAACGTAAAGGTTAGCAAACTTTTTTAACAGTGTCTTTACAGCTTCACAAAAATTTTTTAACATTCCTTGATTATTTTCAAAAGATTGTTATACCTATTGAAAGTATTGAAAACATTCAAAATAATTTATCCATGAATTTCTCAAATACGATACAAATCGATACTTTGGAACACGATGAACGCGAAGAAGTAATTATCTCTCTTTTTAAGGTTCATCGTTTCTTTAAGCATACACTAATTTATATAATATTTTTTTTTTTTACCTTAGTATTTTTTTGCGTTCTTCTCGGATAGTCAATCTTTATATGATACACTTGTTAAACTTTGGAAAGGTCACAAATCAAATGATCTTAAACGGTCACGTTCAACAAACACTAGATCGTTATCCCCTGAACCAATCACTCCTACATCACTCAAATCAGACTTCATTGCGTTAATAAAACATAAACGTAGTAAAAGTCAAGAATCTCCGGTTAATTCATCAAGGTCTATACAAAAGCAAACAACTTTAGAACCTATATCGGCTTCTGAAACGACAGACAGTCAATGGAATGTAACAAAATTTGTCTCCAGGCGTGCAAGAGTATTTTGGAAAAATCCTAAAAAGTATTATAGTTCTTTTGATGAAAATCCTTCGGAGGAAACTCGTCAACATTTTAGGGAACATTTTGCCTTATCGGAACATGAGAAGCTTTATGCTGGTATGCTTTATCACGAGATAAATTTTTTTTTGATAAAAGTTGTACTGAATTTATGTGTATAATATATATTTAGTATTTTATGGATATTTCTTGCGTATGCTTCCTATATATGGAAAATTTTACGTATCCGACAACTATGTTTGCTTCAGGTCCAGGGTTATAGCCCAAAATACCAATGTAATTAATTATATTTTATATTATTCAACCAATTTTTATTTTCAATGAATGACGAATTTTTTTTTTTTTTTTTGAAAAAATCATTTGTAGATGATATTGCCAATAGCAGATATCCATTTCTTTAAAAAGACAAAGGCAACCATGTTAGGATATTATGGATTGGAAATTCTTACAAAGGCTCAACAAGAAATGTTTTTTGAATTTGGTTTTGAGCATGTAAGGGATAGATTTGTCGAAATGATTGAACTTAAATTGAAATTACTTGGTAAAGGAAATAAGAAGACATCGTCAGGAAGTTCATCTGATAGTCAAAGTATGATCAAACAAGCTATTATCAAGGATCAATTGTTATGGCAACAATGGTCAGAAGTTAGTCCAACACCAAAGGCATCAAATTTTGGTGAGATTGGAGCGAGCGTTTCCAAAATCGATAAACCATTACACATAACGTGCCTTACTATTGGATCACGTGGTGACGTTCAACCCTACATTGCGCTTGCTAAAGGTCTTATGAAAGAGGGTCACAAAGTTAGAATTGCTACTCATGATGAATATAAAGACTGGATCGAAGGTCATGGTATTGAATTTGGTTATGTCGGTGGTAACCCTGCCGAACTCATGGTAATTGTTTCGATATATATCCATACATATGCATAAAAATATATATATATAGATATTTGATTAAATTGATTGAAATTTCACATTTATAGCGTATTTGTGTTGAGAACGGCATGTTTACTTTTGGCTTCTTTAAGGAAGGTCTCGTTAACGTGAGGATTTATAATATTCTATTTAACGTGTCTTATTTAAAAAAAAAACAAAAAATTGATTACTATATATTCATTCGTAGTTCCGTGGATGGTTGGATGATTTACTGAAAACTTCATGGGAGGCATGTCAGGTGAACAAAACGTTACACGTTAAATAATGTTATAATGTTTAGCTTTATGGTTTCAAATATGAATTTATTTTTTGCATTTTATTTTAATTTAGGGCACAGATGTAATTATAGAGTCTCCTAGTGCTATGGCTGGCATTCATATTGCAGAAGCTCTTGGTAATTAAATAAGAAAAAAAATTTTTTTTCTTATGCCTAAAAATAAGATAGTTCGATATTTATTTACCCTTATTTTTGATATAGATGTTGCATATTTTCGTGCATTTACAATGCCATGGACTAGAACAAGGGCTTATCCTCACGCATTCGCGGTTCCAGATCATGATCTCAAGTCTCCGTATAATTATTCATCTTATATACTTATAGAGAACGCTTTTTGGCTCGCAATCTCCCCACAAATAAACAAATGGAGGAAGGACACATTGAAATTACGGAGCACCAATTTAGAGAAAATGGAACCTTCAACAGTTCCATTCTTATATAATTTCAGTGAACGAATTGTTCCAAAGGCATCCGATTGGGCCGATTGGATTCACGTGACCGGTTATTGGTTTTTAGATAATCCTGACCTCGGATGGACACCACCAGAAGATTTATTGGAATTTATAGATAAAAATCGTGGAAATAAAAAGCCAATTGTATATATTGGGTTCGGATCAATTGTAGTAGATGATCCACAGGCAATGACAAAATCAATCGTAGAAGCCGTACAAAAAAGTAAAGTAGCAGCAATTATATCGAAAGGATGGAGCGATAGATTACATCAAAAGAGATCGGACCAGAATGAGGAAGAAAATTATCCACCATCAATATACCCGTTAAAATCAGTACCACATGATTGGATGTTTCCTCGGGTAGATGCAGTGATACATCATGGTGGTGCAGGTACGACAGCAGCAGGGTTACGTGCCGGTATACCAACCATTATAAAACCATTTTTTGGAGATCAATTTTTTTGGGGAGATCGCATCGAAAACATGGGAATTGGATTTTGTTTGAAAAAATTAAGCGTTGATAAATTTTCCGATTATTTGGTGAAAGTCACGACGGATAAAAAAATGATTTATCAATTTGATATCATTTATTAATTTTATTTTTCGTTTACCTAAAGATATATCATATATAAAATATCACAAAAATAGCCAGAATGGAATTAATCAATAATCAAAATCATTCATCTGATAGTACATAGTACATATAGCAAGCAAGAAGTTATTAAATATATAAAAAAAATTAGTGCAGATATTTAGACTAAATGAGAAAAATACAGAAGAGTATATTGCACTTTTTGGTGAAAATAAGGCATTAAAGAAACA